AAAGGTGCATTTCGAGATACGTATTTCAGAAATAGATTGTTTTATCATAATCTCGTCGGCGTATAGGTACAATGTGACAGTACATTCAATGACAGAAGTTTTATATCGTAAATAAACCGCATAACATGAAACACGTCAGTGTACTTTTGCAAAATTGCTGTCAATGTTTGGCTTGGCGAACTTGAGATCAAGATTGAGATCATGTTTATTTCACGTTTCATAGTGGTGTTTGCTGCACAATGCACTATCGTTTTGCCATGAGTCCAGTTGACAAAAGACACTTTTTCTGCTATGATTTTCATGTTAACATATTACAATGTTAATTATGAAAATAATTCGTGTGTCAAAATAAATATTCAGAAGGGGCGATAACTCTATTCAGTGTGTACAATGACAGATGATACTTCACTTGTTCTTCAAACATCACTTACTTAACTGATTATTGCCGATTGAGATTGCACCGTGCACTACAAAAGTAATAATGTGTGAACTGTTTAAAATAAGTTAAAAGGAAACTAAAAATTGATAAAGATAAAGGATAATGCATGAAATTGAAGAAATATAAGAATTGATACAACTACATGTACCAACTTCTTGAACACCCTCACCTAATCCTGTATGATAGGTAATTGTATATCAAAAGGAAGCTACTAATACATTTATCCTGAATAGTTTGAAAATGTCTTGATCAGATATGAGTACACATAAAATAACAAAAGATAAAAAGGAATCAACTTCAATTGGTAATCAAGCCAAGATAAAATATATGTATCGGTACAAATTATGTTGATGGAACAATCTGGATTTCTCATATTTAACAAAGAAAAACAAACCAAAATTTTCATATCTTTATTTCTCACAATATAAGTTTTCAAAACTTAACATGGACTGGGTGTCTTTGTCAGTCAAAAGCACCTAATTAGATTCCAGGAGAAAATAATTTTCTTGCTTGTAAACAAATGGTACAATGTGCTTTTTCAGTGTCTGATAAATATTGGCCATGTTGATTTGTGAGTGAATAAGGCTTTTCACCTCCTCGTCCTATTTAAGTGAAATGTGACAGTAAGCACATTTGTTGATTGAATGAATATTGCTTTTGACTTCCTCGTCCTTTGACAGGACGCACATTGTAACCAGTGTGTTACTGTCAGCAGAAAGCTCCTACAGACATCTGTCACCCAGATACTAGTACTTCATTGTGTTGACTCGCTGGCCTGAAATGAATAATTCAATAATATTGTAATAATATTCCTACTTCAATAACATTTTTTATAAACAATGCATATTCACCTTCTCTCAAAATATTGCTTATTTAGAAAACAACATTCTTCTGAAATTCAAATAGAGAAGTTTAAGGAAACTTAATCACAGTGTGTAACATTACATGCTTCTTTAGAACAATCTTGAAGGCATCAATTCATCTGATATGTCGAAAACTCAAACAGTTTATTCTGTGTAAACAGTAAACTCAACAGATGCATCAATTTAATGACAGTGTACTACAGCTCTTTATATAAATGTCACACAGAAATTCACTCTTGTTTTAATGAAACATGTTTTGATATTTGTATTACCGGTATGTATTTAATCATGAAATACTTTGTTTAGTCTGACCATGCTGAAAACATACTTTCGCTCGAGCATGTAGAGTGAAATAAATAAGATTTTTATTAAAATCAGGTGAAATATCACGTTTTGTCAGACCTACAGTCAGTCTGCCTCATTGACACTATGGTTTTCTGAGTAAGGTCATGAAGATCACAAAGAAAATATAAGACTTGAATTTATTTTGTCAAATGCAATGTTTATCTCTTCATGTGGTTTACTAAAGTTGATATCTTGACTTGAAAATATTAACTTTGTCAAATCACAAGATGAAATATTATTAAACATATTTTATTGTCCAAAAAGACAAAGGGCAGCACTTATTACCGCCTTCTCCCTATATACAGTTATACATAATATTGCATAATAAAAATGAACAATTTACAGTTGAAGCTTCACATTGTGGAAACATAGTGCGCAATATATATATACAGTGCTCATATGAAGGATATGTACAATGTGCTGGAAAGTGAAGACAGTGTGCATCTCATACATATCCTAATATTATACATTTTAGTGTTGAATATAGATTTAACAATATTAATGATTAACAGTTTGGAAACAATAATATGCTAGCTACTGAATCTGTTAGTCGTTTCTATAAATTTGTGTACAGACAAGAATATTTTTGTGTTCAGGAAAACATCTAAGTTTGGATCACCAAAAAGAATACTATGTAGAGTTTGTTGTCCTCCAAGATTATCGATAGCTGTCAGTAATGTCTCCCTAAAATCATCATATAAGGTACATTCAAAGAAGAAATGGAATGAATTTTCACAAGGAGCATGCTATACAAGGAGCATGAGATAAATTCATGCTATCATCGTTATTTGACAAGGAAAACAAATTTCTTCTATGTATTTATATTTTTTTATTTTTCTCGTTTTGATTGAATTATAAAAAATATCAATGATCACACCACTTGACTTGATTGAAATAAACTAAAGTTCTAAAGATTGTTAACAATAGTAAAATATTACATCATAACAATTTAATTATTGCAAAGTGACACAGTAAGCACAACTATATTCTTACATATAAATTGATATGATTAATAATCAATAATACATGGCAGTTGCTTGCACAAAAGAAATCTTTTTGTTTTAAAAGTTTCAAAACATGTTTGTGGACATAAAACCAGATGGGTTTCACAATTAAAACAAAGGGAATAAATGAGTTATGGTTGCAATACGCATTGGAGTTAAAAATAATTCTTTTTATACTTTAAGTTTTTAGTAATGTCAATATCAATTTATGCATTTGAAATATTTGAATACAAACTGTTAAAGAGTTATCTGTTTCTGTAAATTATATAAAGATCACATGTAGATTGAACATTTACTGGACATTAATTAGTTGGGTTTTTGTTCATTTCATGACATGATTAAATTGGTACAGTAAAGTAAATATCATTTTGATAGAAATATTAATTGTAAGCAAAATTGCAGATCAAACTGTACTCTACTTTAAATATTTACAAACCCTTGATGTAATAATTCAGTTGAAATATTACACCTCATGCTATCTAATCTGTCAACATTGACAATCAAAATAACAACTGTTCACAATCACAACAGCACAAGTAGATCGAGAGGTGTAATATTTTATTGGAATGCATTTGAGTCCATTACAATTTACATCAAATACGCAACTGATGCAAAATTTTGATTTGTTACGATTGTAAATTCTCAGTAGGTTACAATTTGATACATTATATCAACATATCAATTTAGTTAGTTTCTGACATATATCTAGATATGGTCAAAAGGTAAATATTTCGACTTCAAATACAACCCGCAAAGTTATTTAAACTCGCAATAAATAGTTTGGCTTAATGGTGTGTAAACAATGAATTATTCTTTACAAGATTTCAGTAGCATTTGTATTAAGTCTGTTCAGCTACCATAAACTGCACTGGGAGTTACCAGGTGGTCATGGATATTTTAAATTGAAATCACAACAGAACGGCCAGACTCAAATTTATATCGGTAAGGAGACCAGATAACAGTAGAATAGTTTGTCAATAAGAATAATGTTCAATACTTACGATAAATGTACCGGGATGGTTAAATTGTCACAGTTTGTCCCGATTGCGTGCCTTGTTGACATCTCCATGTGTTTCATGTGCTATCCGACCTTCACCTTCTGCTCTCCAAGCCTCGCTTTCAAACCGGAAGTAGCAAAGTGTGAAAAAGGTCAATAAAGTTTATTTTTTAGCAAGGCGCTTATCATGTTACATTGTGTATTTTTAATATTTCCAAAAAAGAATCAATTCATCATTTTCCGATAACTAAATCTAGGTCCGACTCCCTTCTAATGAAAACGAGTAAAACGAGTCTCTCGTCCCGCGCTATAACGGGGTGTTTGCGGTATTGTCCTCGCTGGTGATAAGCTAGTGAGTAGTCGATAGTCAAAAGTTAATATCACCATATATTGTCAGTGAGTTGGTCATCGTTTGTTGATTATTAAGGTGAGATAGGTGTAGCCAATGTGCACCAATGAAAAATACAATGGAATTGATAGCAACCATTTGCGTTCGGTTTTCGATCTCCATATGTTGCTACGTAGGCTACCATACTACAGAATTATCTTAACGACATTGAACTGTATTATGTTAATAAACGTAGAAACAAACAAATTTCATATGAAACTTGGTTCTCTGAAACATTTTTACAGTGAGAGAGAATAAAATGGTGATCGAAAACTGAACGAGTAAGTTCCAGTGCTCGCTACAGGGTTAGAAATTGGCACTAGTCCTATAGTCTTTGCCAAACTGCCCAATAGTAAAGGTATCCTAAGGACTAGTAGAATTTTGACATTTTTAAAGGTTTTGCTATATGCTATCATTATAAGGACTAGTGGACTGAAACTGTTAGTTTCTACCGCTGCGCTACAAAATCGTACTGTAGCTAGATCTATATAAACAGCGCTGCGATGAAGATGTGAGTCGTAATAAACTACAATGCCTGTCTAATATATCTGTTCCCGTTTGGATTCCGGTTTAGAAAAGGTCGCCAACAAACCATGTTTTTACTAACATGATTGTGTGTCGACTCCTCCGACTCATTGTTCTCTGACAGAGATTGTTGAGACGTGGCTCACTATAACAATCACGGGTTTGCCCGACCGGTTTATAAGACCGATGTATATGGAAACCAAATTACATCAGGTGTGTTTTTATGATGGTACTCATAATTTTGTTACTTAGATCTATATCTGCAGCCTGATATATTTTCGATCGGACGTTATACATGGGGACTTTAGATTTACAGTTTTTCCTAAATTTTAGGCAATTATACAATGTATGTTATCTTTTTGGATAGACTATAGATCTTAATGTATGCTTATTGAATATAGTTCTAGTTTTGACTTTTTTTTATATGTTTTCGTTGCAGCAAGGGGGAAAATGTTACACGACCATTCCAGGAGATAAAATCAAGAATGTTGAATCTTTGAGGATCACACCAAATAAACCCTGGGCTGTGAATTATGTTAACGTAAGTACAATTGTTAACAGTTACATTCCATTGTCTATATCCGTGTTAATTGGTTTGTTTTTTTTTTGCTTTAAATGAATGCTAAGAATGTAGATCTACTTATATAAATCTATGCTCTACCACGTTTTGCATTCAACCTGATTCTTGATGTCTCTGAATGAATGTTAAAATTTGTTTCCATCAGACACTTGCATTATACATTATTGTTTGAATATTGATAAAGCCTTATCTCAAAATGAATGTTTCTCGTCATATAGTACCTTTGAAATACCTGCTCGAGATTTATTAAGCTGTTTGTATTTCAGGGAAGTGGAAGTGAACACCAAAGAAAGAAGATTCTGGCATTTAATAATTTCGAAAAGTGTATACATTTTCAATTATCTAAAAATATTAAAATGTCAACACAAATAAGTCTTGGAGTTCTTTGTTGATTGTGTTTTGTTTGTTTGTTGTTTAACGTCACACTCTGCAATATTCCAGCTATATAACGGCGGTCTGTAAAATAATCGAGTCTGGACCAGACAATCCAGTGATTGACATCATGAGCATCGATCCAAGCAATCGGGATCGATGACATGTATCAACCAAGTCAGCGAGCCTGGCCTGTTGAATGGTGACGTCGCATGACTGAAAGTTGAAGTATACTATATGGACTTGATCAGAGACCGACCATTTATTATTCAAGGAGGTGGGGACCTGGAACTTTTCTATGGAGATTACATATGTTTTCGGTCACAGCTACAAAAGCAGATATATAGAGGTTATCACGCGAGTGTGTTTGGGGATGGTAAATATCCTGCATTAGGAATAAACATTGTATTTATTCCTAATACAGGATATTTCCCACCCCAAACACACAAGCGTGATAACCTCTTTATCATATAATGTCATTCTTTAATTCTATGCTTCAAAATCGCTTTCCCTCTCTCACAAATATTACCGAAACATTGCGAGTTTTCCTGGAATGCGCGCATTAATATTTATTACGTCACAGGGTAAGTGATGTGTCAGTCGGACAGTGACTGTAGCCAATATAGTTCCAACTGAAATCTGTTTCTTATACAGTGGCGAAGCAACATATACGCAAAACAACAATTGTTTTTAATTGCCTTTCGCGGCAATCCATCGGTCTGTCCGCTAGAGTAACTGCCCTTTGTCAAAGGGAAGCTACTCTAACCCTAGTCTATGAGACGTCACGGCCACGGTCAGACGTTGTTGACAGTCGCCTGTCCTGTCATAACGATAAAAAGTGTACTCAGATGTACACACAGCGATAAAACGAAACAAGGTAACAATTCAAACATATTCCCGTCAAATCCAACTATTTTAATTTGTGGAGAAGGTTTCAAGCCGCAGAGGTCTACAAGCACAGATATGCCTACTGATCCCGCTTGGCAAGGCCTCGTGCCCTCGCCAAATTGTTTCGAAATTTATATCTCCAAAGTTGCCAAAACTTATAAAATGCCTTAGCTGCGTCACAGTGAGACACAGATTTTCAGTATATTAGACTGTTCTTTTGATAATGATAGCAATTATCGCTGTAGTTAATCCAGATTCCCGATGGTTAATTCTGACTCGATCGCCGAATGACGAGTGCGACGCCATGTTTGTTTATAAACAGTGAAAGTAGTCCCTACTTGACCTTTGATATTTGCATCTCTATCCGCATATGACCCCAACGGATATCGTTTTTATCCGTTGGCTTTATCCACCCGAGAAACCTACCCATTATATGATAAATGAGTAGCTTCCCTTTGACAAAGGGCAGTTACTATAGCGGACAGACCGATGGAATGCCGCGAAAGGCAATTAAAAACAACTGTTGTTTTGCGTATATGTTGCTTCGCCACTGTATAAGAAACAGATTTCAGTTGGAACTATATCGGCTACTGTCACTGTCCGACTGACACATCACCTACCCTGTGACGTAATAAATATTAATGCACGCATTCCAGGAAAAGTCGCAATGTTTCGGTAATGTTTGTGAGAGAGGGAAAGCGATTTTAAAGCACAGAAGTAAAGAATGACATTATATGATAAAGAGGTTATCACGCTTGTGTGTTTGGGGTGGGAAATATCCTGTATTAGGAATAAATACAATGTTTATTCCTAATGCAGGATATTTACCATCCCCAAACACACTCGCGTGATAACCTCTATTTATTTAACTCTATGAGCCTGAAGATAAGCACCTTCCAACTAGATCTATGTCATTTTTTTTCACAAGTCTGAACCCTAATTATTTTTGTCAAGAATTTTCGGTGACTATATTTTACGATAAAATTCCAGGACCCGACCCTCCCCAGAAAATATCATATTGTGAACCCCTTACAATGTCTGCCTTTCTTATTTTGTTTCCTGCAGTACAAGCCTAAAGGGTAATGGTGTCTGACTTTGTTATAGTCATATGTATCTAGTTAACAGTTTTACATTTTGAACATTGTCAGCAAAACACGACCTAACTGTTAACTGGGCTATTCGACTACCTGGTTTTAAAACATTGGTAAAAGGTATCTCGAATCATACACATTCACGTGACTAAAGCATATTCTAAAACATTTCCGGAACATGTTTTTGGGTTGTTCTTACAAAATTTTAGTGGGGAATGGTCACAACGTATTTTATCCTTGTAACACAAAGTTATTTCACGTCGTTGTGACAACGCCCATGGTAGTACACAGAATAACGCAGGGACGCATTATTATAACATTGCCACAACGTAAAATACAACATTACCACAACGTCAAATACAACGTTCCCTCAACTTTAAAATACGACGTGAATATGACGTAACACAACGTTAGGCCATGACGTTGGGACAACGTAAATGGGAGTCCACAGAATAACGTTATATGGACGTAACATCCCCAACGTTATCACAACGTTGTCACAACGTGAAATTGTTAGCTGGGTCGCTTGCAACCGATCAGCGCTTTGCGACGCACCCGTACTACGTTTTACTTCTCCATGCACTATTGTCACTGTTACGTCATGACATTATGACGCTGCAAATACTTCGCCTATGACTTGGCCGGCGGCTTCACACGACAAACTTAAGTGTGACTATTTTTGTTAACAAATATAAGTTTGTGTGTGTTAACATTGCAAAAAGACAGTTTGCAAACTAGTTTGTGAAGTTTGACAAAATTTGGAGAGGAATAGAAACGATCTCTATTCTCATTAATATGTTGGCCAACATGTTAGTGTTGTCAAACACGATTTTGACGTGTGAATGGTCGTCAAACATTTGTTTGTTCCTTACAAATATTGCTGGAATATTGCTAAAAGCGGCGTAAAACCATACTCACTCACTTACTCAAAGGACCTACGAGGAAATTGCAAATAAACTTGGTCTGAAAGGCGGTAAATGTGCTATTGTTAAGTACCGAAATAGGCCTGCATCAATACAAGACACTGCTGTAGTTTACAGAATATACCTTACACAAACACATACACTGTTAATTTACACAGCAACAAAATATCTCAAATTATCTTCTGTTCGCTAAATATTCAAAACGCCAAGTTTTTACTGAAGCGAATGACGGCGAATTTTGATCATGCACCCATATCACCATCTTCCCGAGGCAAGCGGGTGAAAACAAGACTGATATAAAGGCCAGTGGACGCTCTTGCCTCGGGAAGATGCCATGTCACATACACGTATCTATTTTAGTATCAGACAGCCAATTTGAAAAAAGAATCTTATCTGACTGGTCAGAAATATTTACTTTTACACACTGTACTGATATAGACCCCTATTGGCATGACACTATTGACGATTAATCCGCAACGGAAGTTATTTTTTTTAATGTTTTTTTATCGACAGTGTGTCAAGGCGATTTAGCACGGCGATAGAGATGAAATGAGATTGGCAGATTCTGTATTTATGATGATGCTTGACAGTAAATATTCAAATCTATGACGTGAAATGACAGCAATGATCGTTAATATTAATGTGGCACATTTGACAGCGGTAGAAACTAATAGTTTTTTCTCCACTAGTCCTTATAATGATGACATGTAGCAAAACCTGTAAAAATGGCAAATTTTACTAGTCCTTATGATACCTTAACTATTGGGCAGTTAGGCAAGGACTGTAGGACTAGTGCCAATTTCTAACACTGGTACAAGTTAGGTTTAGAGGCAGGAAGTTCATGCTCAATACATTGAGATGCCAAGGTCGAAGTGGTCGACAGCTTATTCGCATCATGGCTATGCCGCGATTTCTTGTCTACTAAAGTTGTCGTACATGCTCGCCCGTGCCGTGTGATTTATCAAATTACCTGACAGTGTGGATGAGCAGCACTAACCGTTTCACATTTTGTCGCCAAGGAGATTTAAAAAGAGTGGCTATGACATCTAACGTGATTCGATGCCATATTGTTAACAAATCGTGTCAAGGTTGCTTCCAAATGTGATACCTCGGCTCTATAGTTTCTGTCAATGATACACGCGATACAAAATAATACAACTACTAAAAACATCACTTAACTTCTAAAATGGTGACTACTATACCTTTTATCAATTGATTTAACCGCTTAATTGGCTTAATGTGTTCATTGTAAGTGTGATTTCGTTTTGATGTTTTAAAATAGTATTCATCATCAAACTGCGTACGACAAAATCAGTAATACTTCCATCGATTTTGTTTTGACGTAAAAAACACTGACAATTTCATCAGGACTGTGAAGAGTGGGGCGACAACATTTGTGTTTTTCCTGACAACAACATTGTCACAGGCAGTCGACACAGTCAATTATTCTGGTGTCCAGCGTTTACCATTTAACAGACGATTAATTTAAATAGCATAATGGAAATCCGAAATCCTAGAATTGCCTATTTTAAATCCATAGTGTAAAAATGATTCGCCTGAAACAAATTCGTATTTCAAATTTGGGCATGAATGACTTGAGTATTTGCATTGTTCATTGATAAAACGATGTATTGATTTTAAGATAATTTCGATCATGTGTTTAAAAAGTGCCAGTATGTTCAAGGTGCGACTGTGAATGCATTGAATGAAAACTATTGCCTCTCTTACTATAAATACATATCAATTCAGAGTTATTACGTCTGTTACATACTGGCGAGGTATATCAGTGTAAGGGCCAGTTTTTCACCAGCTGGTATGCTCTGACGCATGTTTGTTTGAATACTTGGCCTCACAAGTTCTAAAATTTCATCAAGTCAGGCTTCATCCACACGCAGATAATTCCCAAAGGAAGGTCCGTCTTCAGCCCCTCAGTTCCTGTATAATAATATAATTTACATTTCTGGAAATATCGGGGAGTGCCCATATCTCTTATTTCCCCATCTCATTCTACTTCGTTTTCTCCGAAGAAAGACAGACATCAATAACCCTTTTCCCGACATGCCTCTGGGACAAAGTGCTCACCGGAGAAGCCATACTGAACTAAACAACAAGAAGACATCCTTAATTGTATGTGAGGGGGCACGGATGGCCAAGTCGTCTAAGGCGCCGCGATTCGCTTTGCAGAGATGCGTCCCTTGGGGCACGCCAGAAACCTATGATTGTCGGTTCAAATCCCGGTTCGCCCCGATTATGATTCTAGGTTTGTCAGCACCATACCCGTGCTCGTGGGTTTCACCGAAGCGATTAACGTCCAAGACCTGCATCACTTCTGGCTTTCCTCCCACATTAAGCTGACACGCCCCGATATAACTGGAATACTGTTAAAAGCGGCGTTAAACCCAACTCACTCACTTGTATGTGAAAACTCAAGTTGGCAAACTTTTTTAAGTTTGACACCTTTATTGCAAGCTTATGTTGGCCGTGTTGAAAGATCTTGTCTGGATAAAGGCGTTTTGATTAGCACGAATATCTGGAGTCTGTCATCACCTGATGAAGGAGCAACAAGTATCTCTGAAACGTTGTACAAAGAATAAAAGAAGTTGCTATCCATAAAGAAGTGTCGTGTATTCATGTTTATCCAACTTCTAAATGCCTATCAAAGATTTAAATCGGTTTGACTGTCAGGCTCGCTGACTTGGTTACTGCATGTCATCGTAGCTCCATGGATCGATGCCCACCGTGTCAATCACTGGATTGCCTGGTACAGACCACCTTCATGTAGCTGTAAAATTGCCGAGCGCGGCGTTAAACAACAAACAAACAAACAAACTTACCAAATCCTTACTGGTATAACACATATTTACAACTTAATAATAAGTTATACTTGCATAATATGTGTTTAGTGATCCAGAAAGTTTGGTACCTTAAACATATGTACATAAGTTAGTCTCCAATGATGGCACCAGGCATGCCACACGCATATTAGTGCACAGTTTCTATTCATTTACTATCACATTTTTACTGATGGTTAACAATGCAATATTAACTAATGTAAAAAAAAACACAGTATCTAGTGTGAGTTTTAATATACCAAACTCACTCAATACATATATAAGATACTTGATGTCCGAACATATTCATTACCTATGAACAAAACATAATTAGTCAGTAAAATGATACTTGTGAGATACGTACATGTAGTGATGTTTGTTTTACTTTTTATACCTGAAATATTAAAGTATTACAGCATAAAAGCTAGTACTTTAGTATAAAAGCTAGTATATTTAGTGTTGAACGATGATTGTATTGGGATACCTTCATTTATATACTGACTGATATGTTTGCACATAGAGAGAATCTCACGAGTGAGATTTTATTTGCCATAAAAAATAATTATTCAAAGACAGGACAAGATTACTCTCCGGCCGAAATCTTCGGCATACTTGATACACATTTCAACATATACAATGTGAGATGGCGGATACGAGGTGACCTCGGAAGATTTTCCATTATGAACATGACCGTGAAGATCCGGGGTAGAATAGGTCTTCAGCAACCCATGCTTGCCGCAAAAAAGGTGACTATGCTTGTCGTAAAAGGCGACTAACGGGATCGGGTGGTCAGGCTCGCTGACTTGGTTTATACATGTCATCGGTCCCAATTGCGTGGATCGATGCTCATGGTATTAATCACTGGATTGTCTGGTCCAGACTCGATTGTTTACAGACCGCCGTCATATAGCTGGAATATTGCTGAGTGCGGCGTTAAACAACAAACCAACCAACCAACCAACCATTATGAACATACAAAACATTAGAGAGGCTTTTTTTGCAACTGACAGTACACTGAAAAAGTGTTATGAATTTTAACATTTGGTCTTTCTAAATATGCTTTTGTTACATACAATTGTCTCTCTTTACATTAAAAAATATCATGTAATTTATCATCAATCTCATACACCTACTGGTAAGCCGTGAGTTGTGACCTGGCAGTTAATCCCGTATGACTATGTATCAGGTCCGCCCACTGGCGCGTACCATTGCTAACAAAACGTTCGAGTGACGAGTTCAATAGCACACACTATTACGTGCTGATGCGCTTTAGCGTAGATACAGACCGGTGCCAATGCTAGCTTTGACAATGCTTGAGATTTATTTGTACATTCTTTCTCCATGTAATTTATTACATTATAGGGCAATTCTCGATCCTGAGGATGATTTGGCCGTGCATGCTTACCTAGCTTTGACATGTTTATTTGTTTGTAATTAACTTCTATCAAACGGTACTGCATATGAGTTGGTTCAACTTATCCTTGATTACCAGTAGATATCTATAGTACTCACCACTTAAAATAGAATCCCGAAATATCGCAATGGTTAATTAACGAAGATAGCTGCATGTGTGTTAATACTTATAAAGTGAAAACAAGCCTTTCAGCCGATAAGAATTATCACTTATAGTAATGTTAAAAATTGCACAATGAGCTTTTCAAGAAATGTCCATTTTCTTAGCGATAAACATCAAAATTAAGTTTTGATCACGATTTTATTAATTCTTTATTTAATACACTTATACACCAAAACTAATCCAAATAATTGCCCTAGAATGTTATGGATCATGTTCATCTTATTTTTCCTTATGAACTGGGCGAATAATAAATACAGTTAAGCCACTGTTCTGGGTAAATGCGGTCGTTTAAATTTTTATTAAATAACTCGACATGTATGGCCATCACGATGTCTACAGTGCTTTTAAAATATTCATTGATTATTGAATAAGGACCACATATGCTTTGCCATATTTTAACTTTGAGATGGCTAACATAATCGTCCTGTTAAATACCCCTTTAAAATCATCGATACCTACATATATCTAACTGATCAGAGACATAATTGGGCTCATCTATATAACTATCTTTATTTGAGGATATAAAGTAAGAGAAGAGTTCATGAAGGTGGGGAAGGTGAGAATCATTATTATCTCATCTCAGTAGTTTTCAAAACTTTCCTCAGTGCTTCCGGTGACATACGTTTCATCCACAGGATGAGGGTTTCAAATCTCAGAAAACAACCCGAAGGAAAGTGTTTCATCTAACTTATAAACCGAAAAAAGAAACTTAAAACATCATTTATCAACATTTTTATGTTTCCAGCATACTTTCCATGAACCCTAGGAAACGGGCGTAAAATATTTGTTGCTGGCGTACGGTTACTTAAAAAGGCGTTCTTAAAAGCATTCTGCTTGATCAGCGCCTATGTAGCCAAGTGGTACACCCACTGGGCTAGAGATACGAAGGCTGCATGTTCGATCCTGGGGGGATATAAAGAAAATATTTGACACTTGATTTTATTTTTCATTACATTGTGTTCAAATACCAAATAAATGTCAATCGATGAGCTTTCAAACGTTACAATATAAACCGAAGTTAATAAAAAAACGGGCATATTGTCCCTGCGATATATTTTACCAATGTAGCAAATATCCCCTGGATACTAGAAAATCCCAGTGATATTAATTTTCCCAAGGCAAGGGAGTTAACTCTATATAAAAAAAGTCCAGTTTCATTGGAGAATGGACTTTTAAAGTTAGTTAACTCCCTTGCGGACACAGGAGACTTCCGCTTTAAAAAAGATTTCCCCATATAAGATACTGATAACTCCCTGAATAGATTCCACGTTGCCTAGCCACTTCTACTGGCGAACAACTCGCTAGACACTTCCCTCTCAAAGATAATAACGTCGTCCAATTTACGACGTCATCAAGTTGCGAGCGCATGTTTTATCTTGTTCTTTGCGATTTATGGCCTAGCTATCTTATATTGTCACATAAGATGTTAATTTTATGGATAATAAGTATGTTTGTTTGTTTATTGTTAACCCCCTGGATGCGAGATGGACATAGATCTATATGTCCCTCCTCTTCAACCCTCTCTTTGAAGTCGAATAACATTCAAAATACATCACGCACACAGATACACTTCATAGTTGTGAATAATGCGGGAAATTCCCAGTTCTGTGATATCATCCACTGGTATTTTGGTCAAGCAAAATTACTGAAAATGAGCTCTGAAAATTAGGTTACAACGTAAATGTCACATTACTAAATCACCACTCACGGCGTTATTTACAGCATGTTTTGAAATCTACATTTCGGATATTTACTCGGAGAAATGAATTTCTAAAGTAGCATATTAGTGATCACAGGTATCTGTCTTTTATCAAATCACCAATGATCATTCCAAAACGTCGCCGATAACCCTAGAATCGTTTAGAATGTTACGCAAAATACGCAAACACGAACGCCCAAGTGCACTTTCCGCCATATTGGATAGTGTTTACAAAATCACGTTTCCGCATACCGGTTATGAGACGCCTGTTACATCACGTATATGTCAAACTCTGCTGCGATAAATACATCTGTGAATTCCTCATGCATTTTAGAATCAAATGACTAATGGTCTTAGTCACCAAAACAAAATGTCTAGATGAAATCAAGCAAAATATGTTAGGTGTGAAAACGAACGCTGTGCTCGAAAAACTGCACTTGTTTGAAATATAAACAAAGCAAAATTCAGATTTTACACAGTGTTGCATTTTCTCCTATTTTGAGTCTACCCATTTGTCACTTCGTTGTATACATTGGCTCAACATTTTTAGAATATGCATGGGAAGAGAATCCTAGGAGGAATTAGGGAATTGAATATAGAAATATTGCAATAAATAAGCCTTTTCATCAACAAGGCCAAACTACTAAAAATAGAATTTTCTTTATCCTCCAGATATTGAAGATACATATCATATATGATATTATGTATAATTACAGAGCTGTAAAGTAGTACAATGTAACAATACTATGAGAAATGATAACTACAAAATGCATGACAATCAAACATTCTTATAACTGTTTTGTAACAGATACAGCCATTTCTTACAGTATCTTGACACAATAACCATAAGGTCACCCCAATCTCAGCGCGGTTTCGGATATTTTTCAACATATAAATTCAACAGAAATAGTCAAAGTTTCCATCCTGCCTGACGCCATGACTGGTTCCTTGGTTTCAATGAAAAATATAACAACAAATAACTGTACACAGATTGTCAGAATGTTTCTGATTACTTACATGTCACATTTATGTAAATACGATCCCTCGTAAAATCCCGCGTACTGTTGTCAGTGAACACGCCATTTTGTAAACGTCTGTCAGCGGTGGAGATGTCATACGTACGTCCACATTGTGGTACATATTTGGTCATTTCTTTGAGGGGAAGTGATGAGATTTTGGCCACAAAAGGTATGAACCTTTGATAATCTCCTGTTTGTGTGAACATTGTTTTCATAAAAAAAAATCGATAACTTTATAGATCTAGTGTCGTATAGGATATTTTTCCTTTAGACGATATTATTTTATCAAAATGGATAATATTTTTTGTTTAAGTAGGTGCATAATTTTAGAAGATTGTCTTGGGCTTGGAATTGTTTTTTATGTGGTTATTGATATACAGAAAGGTGCATGATACCTTACGACACGCCAGGTGCGCGTTATGCTCATTGATTTATAATCAATGGGTTCACCATTTTTTTCAAATATTGTGATCACAGAATTTTGAACTGTTCACTTTATTTCTCCAAGAATTGTGAAAAGTATAAACAATATAAACCGTGTCATGTACCCCGTTGGTCCAGCTTTATACGATTATCTATACCAAAGGAACTTTCTTCGCATGTTTTATTGTATGCTTCTGAGACGAGATTAAGAGAAATAATCACATAATAATGAACAAATACATGTCCAATATTGAATATAATTTTAGTTGTTTTGAAATATTCTTTTGGGTATTTGATTACGTAAAATTGATACAAAACAGGTGCGTGTAATTGTTTTAGTTATTCATAACATTTAATGAAAAGGCTAGTGCTCCATTAATAATCGTGCAACATTAGTCTGATTACACTTGCACAATCAGGAGAATGTTGGAATATAAGGACTAATTTATAGGTTAGATAGGGCCATCCATTTCTCTATAACCTCTTTTTATGAAGTACGATTTCACCATTTCTTATGGGTTTGTTTATACCAGAACGTATACAGTTCAACAGTTTGAGTTGAAATAGTTTGCTTCCTCGTGAACAAATCGCCACGAAAATATGTTGTCCTTATGCACAGCTAATTCTTACCAAGTGGCCTGAGTTACAATAAACAGTGTAGTGCTAAGTATAGCGGAGTTATGCCCCCTTGTCCTTGTACGTGTGTAACCTTTCTGTCGTCTTTTGACGTCATAGAATTAAATCAGTTTTCGGCATTTACGATAGGCTTTTTATTGTATTGAATGTATTACGTTATAAGCATACACATCCATTTGAAATATATTTATGTCGTTAAGACATAAGGCAGTATTTTGTTCGCTGACAGTTTCTGTAAAACACTGCCAAATTAAAAAAGATCGTCGCACAGTACAGTCTGTGTACGATAAAAAGCGGCGAAATTTGCAATTTTTCAAAGCAGAATAAATTTTCGGACAATACTTAGCAGTGTCTGTTTTTCAAACCGATTTAATAAATTTATTTACAGTTAAATTTACACAATCGGATAGGCAATTTAATATTCTACATCTCTGCGTAATTTTGTAGTCGGAGGTAGATCAAGTGCCGCGAGTCAGAAAAAAACCTCGACATCCTGAGGGGTTACGCCGCACTCAGCAATATTCCCGCGATATGACGGCGGTATGTAAATAACCGAGTCTGGACCAGACAATCCAGTGGTTGACATCCTGAACATCTATCCACGCAATTGGGATCCATGACGTGCATCAACCAAGTCAGCGTGCCTGACCACCCGATCCCGTTAGTCGCCTGTTACGACGGCGGTTTTATGGTGGTTTATTAAGATTATTAATGTAAATAATCAAATAAATATTATGTTTACAAATTTACGGTATAGATTTTCCAAATTTAATCTTCTAAATATTGCCTAATGCCATGTCAAACTGATCTACCATGTGGTTGCTTATGCCATCAGATACCAGAATACCAAGATTATCTGGCCGACCTATTAGTAATGCATCTTTGAAAAGCAATCTTACACAACAGAAACAAATACCACGCCCACCGTAATCATAAAATATTGCCCACAGCGAAAATAGCAAACATGTCAGAACATCAGTGCTGCACCGACTGTGAATATATTTGTTAAGGTACAGTAAAACACACATATTTTTACAAACGGTCCCATGGTTGTCAGTTGACTGTCTGATAAACTTTGCAGCAATGACAAATATCCGATCTTATTCCTCAATGAGCCAGCTATTACGACTGTCCACAGTTTGACACTCGGGAGAGATTTATCATCCAAAATCATTCTTCCAACTTTTCAGTTTGTAAATATACAATGTAATAAACAGTGGCTTGAGTGTAAGATGTAGATCTGACCAGCTTACGTGGCAGAAAGATTAGTCATTTGATTGTTACGTCACGGCAACCGATGCAGGTGCAGAAATGGCAAAGAAATTTTCGATCCTGTTGTGCCGCAATTACATAAAATATGCCACGATTAGCAGTTGATATGTCGCAAATGGGGTTGAAGCAAATACATATTGCAAGAAAATAAAAAATTGACTGCCCCAGACAACTATATCCGCGCTTTTGCAACGTTACAGGCAGTTACAGGACGAACACGTGAGTGGCATAGGACAGGAAGACTGCGTGTCACAGCTAAACAAGAAGAGTCACCCTCCTACGATGTCTACGTGCTGCAGGCGTCAGAGGCTATCGTCTCAACACATCGCTGTCTCAACGTGCAATGGGTAAGAACTGTATCACGTTGGGAGCTACGTAACAGGCATAGGCTACTATTCACGGACGAAAGTCGATTCGCTCTGCATTGGGTTGATGGAAGAGTCCGTGTTTATAGACGTAGAGGGGAACGCCTGACACCTGGATGCAGCCAAAAGGTCCACCCATATGGAGGAGTTGATAGTATGGGAAGGCATTTGCGATGACCAGAAAACGCACCTTGTAATCATAAATGTCAACCTGAACGCTCCAAGCTATAGAGATAAAGCTCTCTAGTCAGTTGCATTGCCATTTGTATGTAGACGGCACCAGGGAACAATTCTGTCAGGACAACGCAATGCCCGCAAACAGCACGAAATATCCAGGACTACTCAAACAACAACAATGCGAGGTCCTGCCATAAGTCAACATGTTCACCGGATATGAATTGAAATGAACACTTGATCAGGAAGATTAGAGACCAACAACAACCACCCGTATGACATCTTCTGGCAGATGACATGAGAAAGACGACGTGTTGTATCTTGCATTGATGCAAGTGGCAGAAACACACGTTATTAGTCATGTGATTCTTTCAGATGATTACATTTTTAATTCATGCCGACAACGATATTCGCCTTTGTTTTCCTATCACTGACCTTCAAACTCAGTGAGAAGTTTTTTTAAGCCCATCCGTGAAGTTCTTCTCGAGGGAAAAATAAATATGTTGACACACGAGCAAACCATGAGCGTTCATTGCAACGAGGCGACAGTCTGATTGGTGAATTCAATTGCAAAACCAATACCTTAATTTTCTGCTTGTGCATGTCACAACCTGCCACCAACAAATACGTGGAACAATATTGAAGGGAACCTCTGTCATTTGGGCTATGAGAATGAAATATCTCTCTTTGTTGCACGAGACACAGTCTGTAAACGCGGACAGCAATCTCGATCTTTGCACATTGCACATGTATAGCATGCCGTCCATGGTGACATATCCTGGAAACTGGCATGTCATAAACGTCAACACCTTATGGTTCGCTGATCGGGTACAAAAAAGGAACACGCCTCCAAAAATGTACATGACAAAATGAAAAATTGCGTGCAATAGGCATGATTGATGCCAGCCTCAGAATGCAGTGGCCAGACACTTTGGTAAATCTAAAAATCAGATCTTCCGCCTGATGGCAAACGGGTGGGGTTAAGATTAGGATGGGTAGAGGAAGGCCTAGAGAGACTACTCCCGGACAGGATCGATATGGCCGCACCATTCCTTTGAGGAACACGTTTCTGCACTAGAAGTGGGGGACAACATCAGGGCTGCCACAGGTTGTAAATACGGGTCTGAAATCAGGACGTCCTCCCAGAGGACTGAGTCTGACAGACGCCTCAGACAACAGTGGGCATGATGAATCAAGGTTCCCCACACGACATCACTTTACTTTATAGAACCATTTGCACCTCTATTTCGTGTTCGTGGTCTTATACCATTTCTGCTGGGAGTTTTTTTTGACAATCTGGCAACTGATGAAGGAGCTGTCATTTACTTTTTAAGAAAATGAGACAACACCCAAAGCAATGCAATATATTTTCTGTACATATTTCTCTAATACGCGTTATATATCCTTAGTGTTCAGCAAAGACACAAGCGTCTATCCTTGTGGCGTCTCTTTTCTTGTACCGTGTCCTCTTCCAGATTATATAATTTTACTGGAGACAGTCTGCAACTTCAAGTACCAACGACACCTCCGATACCTAACACTAGCCTCCGCCATCTAACACTTACCTACGATACCTAACACTAGCCTCCGCCACCTAACACTTACCTCCGATACCTAACACAAGCCTCCGCCACCTAACACTTACCTCCACCACTTAACACTTACATCCACCACCTAACACTTACCTCCACCACCTAACACTTACCTCCACCACCTAACACTTACCTCTGCCACCTAACACTTACCTCCACAACCAAACACTTACCTCCACCACCTAACACTTACCTCCACCACCTAACACTTACCTATGCCACCTAACACTTACCTCCACCACCTAACACTTACATCCACCACCTAACACTTACCTCCACCACCTAACACTTACATCCACCACGTAACAATTACCTCTTCCAGCTCGCTGACTTGGTTGATGCATGTCATCGTATTCCAGTTGCGTAGATCGATGGGTTATGGCTCGGGAACACCAAATCTGAATTTCAAATAGTCCCAGGAAGGCCGAACTCATAAATCGAGAGATTCTGCTGTTAGTATCGGAAGTGTCAAATCAATGGATTACCCGTGAGTGCGGTTAACCGTGAATGCCAAACGTTTTATGATTTTAACGAGGCATACCGAAATACATTAGTAGAAATACACTTTTTGATATAAATTAGTTATTCATAGTTACTGACTGTATGTTTACAGTTGCAGCTAGTGAGTCTACTGACGATGTCGTTGTGTTAACAGATAAAGCTTTAGAAGATAAAAACTATCAAAGAGTTATTGACTGTGTTTACAGTTGCAACGAGTCAAGATTCGGATGTGTTTACAGCGCTTGTTTTAGTAGATCAATCATACCGAAACGCTTTTATATGCTGTATTGTAATAATACTACCAAAGTAGCAAATGCAAGTGTGAGAGTGACTTTAATAGTGAGTGTGAGAGGCGGACAGTACTGAGAGGCGTTGTCAAAGCGTACATAATGAAACAAAGTAGTGGAGGTGTGCTGTCGTCGGGTGTACTGCACGCCTTTCAACCCATGAAGACAGACTCTACAACGCTGAAGTACTGGCCCACACTCATTCTCCTGAACCATTGAGATGGAAGTAGCGGCATTCAAGGCCAGGTACATCTACCGGTCGAAGACAGAAACGCGCACAAGATCAACCAGCTAGACAGGAAGATCCACCCTAACGTCTACGAGGTGGTTCAGCTATTTCAGAGTCCAACACCGAAGTCAGCATCCTGAGAATGAACGGCAATCCCCCTGCACCTCCCAGTAAGCGACGCTACCGCCAGATCGACGCCCGCCTCAGATCATTGAAGAACGACCTCCTCAACCACCATCTGCCTGACATTGACTATACAGACCGTGTGTCGGAACTTCTTCACCTGGATTGCAAATTACACAAAGCCGAACTCATAATTCGAGGGCTTCTTTGATGTAACATTGTTGGATTATTATGAATATGTATATTTTTAACTTTTTTACATTTTAACTTTAAATGCATTTAATTTTTAGCTAAACATTAAGTTCTCGGAACCTCTTAACCGGGCCTGAACATTAATAGGAATATGTGCATATCAAACAGTCAGTAATTCTAATGCATAAATACGGTAATGAAATTGATGAGCGGTACTCCTTTGTTCTCGTTTTATTTGCCTGGTACCGGGAGTGCCAAATCCCGTGTTAATGAACCGTGTCTTGAGTCCTTAGTGGTTCCGGGAACGCCAAGAGGATTTTCCCTCCCAAATATCAGATTTGGCACTCCCGGGCCGACACCGATGGATGCTTATGTTGTCGATCACGGGATTGACTCAATAATTTAGAGACCGCCTTCATATAGCTGGAACATTGCTGAGTGCGGCGTTAAACAACAAACAAACAAAACCTCTGCCCCTGACACTTAGCCCCGCCCCGCAACACGCTGGAAGTCACGTGTACTTGTCAGGTGTTGACAACTATAAACCTTGAACTTGAACACATTGAATTTAGAAAATTGCCTCGGTGTTACAAATACAAGCATTATAATTGTTGTTCTTTTAATTTCAATCTAATATTGCTACGACTCGTATGTGTGGCAACTAAGTTACGTACATGCTGGCCTACAGGATGTATTCCTGGATACGTGTGAAATCAGCCAATGGAATATATATTTTAAACTGAGGAGATTTTGCTGAATGCTTAGGTAATATTATGTCACCACAATCCATGCCAAACTGTGTCTTTACTTGTGCTCTCATTATGCATCGACAGTTTAGCTTACATGGGTGATGATCAGTTAAAGTTTTGGCATTAGGTCCGTGGAATTAATTGTGTTACGCCACTTCCTGATCTTAGAGGTCTAAATAAGCCGCAGTTGGTTGGTGTCATGTCAACAACGGCCTATTGCAATATTGCTCTGAACATTCGACCAATCCGCATCTTTCTCTCCTGACGAGTTAAATTTCCGCTAATTTTCCTTTGTGGGCGTCGAGGGATTACCGATTACCCATTCAAAGTTTGCGTTCATTTCGTCACGATAAAGTTAGAGTCCCGCTTTGGGTTTTGGCTCGCATTTCTTACACATTTTATCCTTTCACAGACAACATTCGTCTGTTTAACTACTCCCAGGGACGGCATTTGTAGGGCAGTGAAACTGTCTGGGGGAAAGGTCCCTCGATTTATCTCTCTGTGTATTTAAACCGCTTAATTGTAACTGCGGACATACACCATAGGGGGATTTTAGCACTATTTAGGTAAACCTGACCAAATTACTCGACACATTCTCGTACCTAGATAAACCTGACCACATTACTCGAGACAGTTATTAATACCTAGGTAAACCTGACCACATTACTCGAGACAGTTATTAATACCGAGGTAAACCTGACCACATTACTCGAGGCAGTTATTAATACCTAGGCAAATCGGGCCACATAACCTGAGACATAATCAATACCTAGGTTAACCCAACCACATTACTCGAGGCACTACCAATACCTGGGTGAACCTGACCACATTAATCGAGGCACAATCAATACCTAGGTGGGCCTGACCACATTACTCGAGGCACAGTCAATACCTGGGTGAACCTGACCACATTATTCGAGGCACAATCAATACCTAGTAGGGCCTGACCACATTACTCGAGGCACAATCAATACCAAGTAGGGCCTGACCACATTACTCGAGGCACTATCAATACCAAGTAGGGCCTGACCACATTACTCGAGGCACTATCAATACCTGGGTGAACCTGACCACATTACTCGAGGCACAATCAATACCTAGTAGGGCCTGACCACATTACTCGAGGCACACTCAA